TATTTATGTTTTGCAAAAGAATTGAATTATTAGTTATGAACATTTTCAAAGAAATTAACATTAAATTATCTATGGAGTATGATGCAATGAAAATTTGTGATGATCAACATACTTTAATGCATACCTGGTTTGTGAAATGTGTTTGTAGAGTGGCATTCAGATCACCTTCCCAATACCATTTGTCTTTTTCTCCTGCTTCAACATGTACTTTTTGTAGCTTTGGAGCACTTTGGACTTCAGATAACTTTTTCAGTTGAGGGCATTCACTTACTACTAATTTTTCTAGTAGTGGGAATTTTAAGTCACACTTCTCAACATTAGAGAAATTTGTGAGATTTTGTAGAGACACCAATTCTAATGATTTTAATTGTTTAAACTCAACCTCTTGTACTTTTTCCTCTTCATTTTCTGCAACAATTTCCACAATTAATGGACATGAACTTACCTTCATCGTTGTGAGTTGATTTAAGGTTTTAGCAGTTGAGAGTGTCATTAAATTCCTCATCATACAGTTCACCACTTCTAAGGATGTTAAGTAACTAAAAGATACCGAGGATGATGCTAGATTTCTCAATTTTTTGCATCCACTGATGATTAAGCGTTCTACCCTTTGAAGAAGCACATCATGCTCAAAACCAATCTCCTCTAGAAACCACATGCTACGTAATTCTAACTCTTTAAGTTGCATAACACCACCTATTTTTTCAGGTGAACTAAGACTTTCACGAGTACAAATTCTTTTTATGTGACAAAGTCCCAATGTTAAACTTTTCAAATTGGGAAGTCTGTGAAGAAACCAAAAGAGAACTTCATTATTCTTCAACCGGTACAAATTAAGTTCTTCTAGTTTGTGCATTCTGTGAACATTAACAATGTATTTTTGCAACCACTCTGCTTCCTTCAAGCTCACCGACATGTATTCCAAATTATATATTGCCTAAATAAATTAATAAAAAGACTTATTGTTAGTATTAAAGCATACTAGTTGAATCATAATTTATTATTTTGATTTAAGAAATAAAAGGCGTAATCTCACATCCTTCTTAAAGGTTGAGGATTCACGCTTTTCATAAAAAACAGGACATATTCTATATTTCCAAGAACAAGCTTCAAAAAAGAACTTCTGATTTGTATCTGAACGAACTTTATGTACCTTTTTTGTTGCTAAAACAATTGGTTGTTCTGATGAATTTGTGATTTCTGAAGTCAATCCTTTGAGCATGCTACAGTCGACTATTTTCAATTTCTTTAATGGTGGCCACTCTAAAGTATGAATTCCTGAGTAGAAACTCCTCAATTCATGCAAGTCTATTAATGATAGAGTGTTTAGATGAGGAAATTTAAAGGTGATAGCAGTTGCACTTGAATGTTTGTCCAAAGCAATAATCTCTGTCATTGCCCAACAATCCCATATCTCAAGGACTTCTAGTTTTTGTAGGTCATTGGCAATAGAAACTGGAAAGAGATATTTCAATTTTGGACTCACATTAACTCTTATGCTTTGCAAATTATTACATTTGAGTATTTCACCAGTGTCACCCTTCCATACGTTCACCAAATTTGGCAGGTTTTCTAGAAATATATTACCCAAATTTGCTTCAATAATATCACAAGTGTGCGGAATATTTGCAAAATCAAATATGTTTTCAACCAATTTGCAATCTTTAACTGTCAAGCTTTGAAGGCTTTGCAATCTTTGCCCCATATAATTAGGAAAAATTGTAACAAGTTTATGGCACTCTCTTATCATCAAAGAGTTCAAATTACTAAAGGAATGTAAACCAATATCAGATTTCCAAATTGTACAGAGTTTCTCCATGCAGATAATCTCCATTTTCTTCAACTTAGGAAAAACATCAATATACTGTTACAATAAAAAATACTTTATAGGTGAGCAATTAAAAGACCTGATTACTTAATATATCAAACAACAAAGGATAACATTAATCAAACTCAATATTAAATGAATCCACACACCTCTGCATCTTCCGGACGAAATATATCTTCCATCATTTCACATCCACTTACAAAAATGCTTTCAAGATTCACCAAACTTTCAGCAATAGAGAATGATAGTAAATACTTTAAATTACCGCAATCGGTCACATTCAATGTGAGCAAATTTTCAAAACAATGGTCATATTCATCACTCCATATCTTTTGGATGTTGATTGAGGATAACTCCAAAGATTCTAATTTGGGGATTGAAACCTGTAAGAGCACATAAAATGTCATAACAAGAAGATTTCATTTCAAAAGATATGTTTTTCCCAGTAGAAATGTTAAATTATGATGCAACTTCTATAAAGTTAAAAAAAAAACTAAAATTAGGTGAAGTTCTAAGAAATTCTAGATCATTGTGAAGAAACAATCTCATGCCTATATATGTGGTGAAATTTTTCAATATGCTCAAGTAACTTTATAAAACATAATAAAGTTTAGTTCCATAAAATCAATCACTACCTTATGTAAAACTCCTCCATTACCCACCGTTTCCAAATCTACCTTCTACAACATATATTTACTACAATGCTACTCACCTCACTAAGCTTGTCAAACTCTCCTTAAATTCTAATAGTGTTACCAAAGTTTCACATGGTAATCTAGTAGGCGTAGATGTAATACCCAACTATTTCTGAAAAAGACTTTCCTACTATATTCCATATCAATCGCAAAAATTTTCTAAGAAATGGCCAATATGGATCCTTCTTCATCTACTTTTGTACCTATTTTTATTGGATAAAATTATGATTAAGTAGTGTAGAAGGAGCTTTTAACAATGGTTAAAATGAACTTTTGAAGATGGTTCAACCCATCGTCATAAGTTTAAAAAATTGACGACAAACTGAACTACAGTCATAAGCTAAAAATATTAATGATGATCACGAAGAAACAATCATTGTCGTTCATAAATTTAATTTAAAAATAAATAAAAAAACGTGGAGAGGGAGTATCACAGTGTTCATTGGGAGGGAGAAAGCACAATCAACAGTTGTGGGACAAATTGCACGGTATTGGAGGGGTAAGCAAGGTGCATACCAGCAGCAACGCATGACAATAGCATCATCCTGAATGGGAAGAAAGTGTGTTCGCAGCACCGAGAGCGAGAGAGAGTGACACAATCAGTAAAACCCACTTTGCGAGGAAAGGGTCCACTTTTCCTATGACAGAGGCTCCAAAGGAAAGGGACATTTGTCGGAGTAGCCAACAATAACAAAACACAATCGTTTGTAGCATGGGAAATCATAGAAAGGATGATGCAAAAACGCTAGAGAAAATGCAAGTGGGATAAGGTGTCAATCAAAAATTTCTTTCAATCAAAACAAGAAGTTAAGGTCTCAAAATAAAGGAAGTGGAGGAAAGAAAATAGAAAAAGTTATAGAAATAAATAAAACATTATAGAAGCTTCTCTAATTCCAAATGAGATAAATATCTCCATGTGACATTTGCAAGAAATCAAGTCACTTGGAGAAAGAATGTTGACATTGCAAAAAGCCACGGTGTCAACACTAAAAGAAATTTGAACTCATGGAAATTGGTTCTTGGATTGGGATGCAATAACGACATGGCCAAAATAAGAGCAACTTGAGGGATATTGGGCACTTTGTCAAAGTGAAAGTTCAATCAAGAAACAACGCACTAATGGAGTCAAAAGGAAGAGGTATTGATGTGGTGGTGGTGGAAACTTAGAAAGGAGGGTGGACTAAAAAAAGATTTTGGAAATAATTGCATGTAGTTCACCTAATATTATTTACGGATTGTTTAGTATGTAACTTATCCAATATTATCTACAAAAAAATTTTTTATGTAATTCACCTATGAATTATGTAACATAACATAACTATGTATTTTGAATAAATTATCTATGAATTATTTTATATGTAACTTCCATACGGATTATTTCATATTTCATATTTGATATATGTATTTCACTCAGAATTACATACAAAATAATTCATATGTAATCTTTTATGGATTCTGTTATTTATATATAATTTCGTATGTAACGTTTTATACAGTTTTTTTTTTTATGTAAGATTAATGACGTCTATTTACATGCAGATTTTTTCAATATGTAATCCGTGAGTAAATATCTAATTACATACCGATTTTATGCAATGTACTGATTTTGGAAAAAATTGATTTTTTTGTCGTAGTGGGAACTGGAAGATTGTCCATATGAAAAATATATCATTGAATTTAAATGGATTTATAAAGCAAAACTAAATCCCTACGGCAGCTTACAAAAGCATAAATCTAGGTTGGTAGCAATCTAGAATTGCCTATAATTAGACATTCACCTAGTTGCTCACCTGGACACAAGAGCTCTAATAGCTATTTTCAAACACCAAAAAGATGGGCATCACTATTTGGATTTCAAATAAGCTTTGTAAATGATGTTCTTGAAGAAGAAAATATATGTGGTTCAACAAGAGGATTTGTAGCCCAATTTGATGAAGCTTGAAAAATGCTAAGGGCTAAGGGAAAAGTTCTCATATAACTTTAAAAACAAGTTCCTCCAACATGGTACTAACATACATTATAACTCCAATAAGGAATTTCAGATAAGCAAGATTTAAGCAACATTATAATCAGGACTCAATGTGTCCAGTTTGATACTTTTGTTGTTTCTCGTAAATGATCTTATCTACACATAAAACAATAGGAAGATGATGATGAATTCAAACAAGACATGATAAAACAATCAATATCACCAACCTTGAATTGATTAACTACTTTCTCGACATAAAGGTCAACCAACAAAAAGAAGGAATATTTATCTAAAAAAAATATATTATTTACACTTTTACCAAATAAGTTTCAGATGCATGTTTTTCAAATATGTTTATATGCACACACCTCCTTCCTACTCTCCTCTTCTTCTCCGGTATATATATTTATATGCAACACACATTATCAGAGAAATCTAAAAAATAAGTTAAATATTCTTTTTTCTAAGACCTATTATAGAAAAGTTCTTCGAAAAATATAGAATCATCATAAGTCTCTCCCTATAAATTGAGGCGGCTTATAATGATTTATAATTTTATATATCACATACATATATATCTTTCATTGTATACAAGTTCATAAACTCAATACAGTTTCTTTCCATTAGAGCAATTGTTACCTTATTCAAAACTACTCCACATTCCTCATCATCTCTGAAGTTTCCTTCTATAATATATATTTACTAAATTACTATTCATCCCACAAAACTCCTCAATCTATCCTAATATTCTAACATGAAAAGAAATTAAATGAATAGTATTTTTATGCTTCTTTTAAGGTAATAACAACATACAAATTAAACATTACACATGTAATTATGATAAGGTTTTACGAACCTTTTCATTGAAGAGTGGAAGGCAAGAATTGGTGACCCCATGCTCAGCGTTAGTAACAATATTTGTGTTCTCGTGGCCTTGCAGCAATGGTACACTACCAAGCATCTCATCAACGTCATATAAACAAATAAATGTTGGTAAAGACTTTAATGTTAATTGTCGTAACTTGGGAAACTCAATCATCTCATCACTCATAGTTTGAGTTTGTCTTTCTTTTGAAACTATCTCCTTCAAAGAATCACAGTCACACACTTCAATTGTTTCAAGCTCAGTGAGGAGTCTAACCATGCAAAATGGGAAAAGGTTTACCAATTTAATGCAGGTTTTAATCTTGATGACCTTTAAATTGCGGAAAGAGGTCTCTTCAAGCTGATTGTCACATATTATTTCCAAATTATCCAATTTGTAAAGCCATATGGACTCTAATTTGGTAAAAGCGACTAAAGAGTGAAACCGCTCCCTTGGATTGATAATATACTTAATGCCAAAATTGTTTACAATGGATAAATGTTTCAAATTTGGAAATCCTTCGACATTTAATTCATAGAAAATATCTCGAACATCATTGAGTTCTCCTAGCAGCAAACATTCGACAGTTTTGAACAACATTTTAATCCATTTATCAGAATGAATATCAATACCTTCTTTTAGCTTTAATGCCAAAAATTTCACCTCCTCATACTTGTCAGGGACTTTGAATTCTCCAACTGTAAGCAAGTTAAGTAAGTTGAATTCACCAATGACAATCTTGTAACTATTCAACTTGTCCAAAAAAAAGTTCTGCGGAAAATGGGCATAACTTTGAATGTGTATGTCTAGATTTTGCAAGTGATTCAAGTGCCTCAACTCAGAGAGACTAGCATTTTTACTTTCCGTTTCCTCAGCCTCCCATAAAATCAGACTCTCTCTAATATAAAATTCCTCTAAAATGTTCATCCTTGGTATGATATTGGAAGGTATTTCTCTTAGTTTTGGGCAATTGCTTATGTCGAAAAGCTGAAGCTTATCTAATTGCCCAAATCCAAGAGGCAAACTTTCAATATTAGATCCTGAAAGACTAAGAATTCGTAAGTTCTTTAACTCACCAATGATTGATAAGTTCTTTCCTAAAGTGCATCTCTCCAAACAAAGCATTCTTAGTTTTTTTAGGCATTTAATTGATGAAGGTAAGCGAGATAGATTAACACCGGTCAATACCAACACTCTGAGTCGAATCATAAATTTAAAAAGGTAATCTGGTATTTTGAAAGATTCAGTGATATTGTCAATATGTAAGACTTCAACTCGAGGACAATGTAATCTCTTAGGAAGCTCATCTTTGATGTCACAAGAGTGTAAAAAAATGGCAGTGTACCTTTCAAAGTCATCTTCATGAGGCCACTCGTCAAGTATGTCATTTTTCATAAAAAACACTTGTTTTTCTTTGGATTTCGAAAGAGCAATACCTCGCACAATGTCATGCATGTTGAAACGATCAGTAGAATAACTTCTCACCAACAAACTCGATTCTTCTAGTTCTTCTATCATCCTCTGTACCCTTTTCCTGGCATGTGTAATTGTTTGGACTCCTTGAAACCAATGCAAAATTTGACCAAATCCATAATCAAAGCATCATTTCCCATTCTTGCACACTGTAAGAACATACGCTTTAACTGCTCACTTTTTAGTTCATTATAGCTCAACTTTATAGAGAAATCAGTAAATCCCCATTCTTCCGTAAAAATTTCTGTTTTAATTTTTTGACAAATGTCCTCCCAAGCGGATAAGCTTTTATTCTTCAGTGTCTTTCCTATGGAAACTAACGCCATCGGAAGTCCACTCCATTTTGCAATTTCAATAGCATTCCTATCAAACTCGGAAGTTTTTACATCAGCAACTTTCTTAACCAAAGTCGCTGCCTCCTTTTCATTAAGGTTTTCCACCGAAAAGGTCAATTGCACATTCATTTCATCACATAATACTTCTTTCTTTCTAGATGTTAGAAGAATTTTGCATCCTTTGTAACTGTTGGATGACTTTTCCTTTTTCATCTTATTCAAATCAACTTTTAACAACTCATTATTTTCTTTCTTGTTGTAATCAAACTTGTTATCTATGTCATTGGCATCCCGTCGGCTTGCATCATCTTCTTCATCACCATCATCATCATTACATGGAATCCCAAGTCTATTCAAGTCCAATTCATCCCAGAGATCATCAAGGATAATAAGGGTGTTCTTTTTATCTTTCTTTAACTTCTTTCGAATACGATTTGCTCTAGCAAACTCATTTGTCTCTTCCAATGTCATATCTAGCATGCCAGCAATTTGTCCTTGAATTTTTTCGAAATCAGGATTTCCTGTAATATTTGCTATGATCACTCTCTTGAACAACTTTTCTTTAGCTTTCTTAGCAATTTCTTTAACTAAAAAGGTCTTACCCATACCAGAAGGCCCATAAACTCCAATCATATCAACTGTTGAGTCTTTCAATTCTTTCATAATCTTCTCCAATGTTCTAGTTCTAGATGCAAAACTCACATAACCACTGTTTGAAAAAGCATAATCATCGGATGGGTATTCCTGATACGAAACTTTGTCAAATTTCTTTTCGTAAAGTCCATCTTCTATGATTTCCTCTACCATCTTTGTAGCTTTTCTACCAAGCTGATACCTCAAAAGGAAGTTATTTGGAAGGAAACCAATTGAGCATATTTTCTTTTCATGACTTTCATCATCAATATAACTTTTATATTCTTTTATCTTCTCATCCATAAGCTTTAAGCAACTTTGAACGTCATTTTCAATTTCTTCTGCATTTCTTCCTGACTCGTCAACTTGATGTCGTAGTCTCTCCCTATTGTGTTCTAGCTTTTCAATAAGAGATTCCAACTCTTTAAATTTGCCTTTGTAATTAAAAAAGTAGCCCCATTGTCGTTTGACCACATGTCCTAAAATTTTCAGAAAACTCTCAGTTGCTGCAGAACCAACTGGATCCATCCTCCCTTATGAATGAACACTTTCGTCTCGTCTTGACTTTATGCTTCCCAATACTGTTAGTACTTTTTTTCCTAAATATTGCAAATGCAATTTTCAAAAGAAAAGGAAATAGATAAAACATTGAGCAAATAGAACGAATGAAAGGTGGCACATACTTCTAAAAGTTCCTCTAAGAAAATCATAGAAACCAAAATATGTTTATAGATATTAGAAAAATTTATAAATATCGCCGCAATTAAAAAAGTACTAGAAAGTTGTTAATGCAAAAAATTTGTACAAGTAACATTTACAGTTGCTGGAGTGATGCCAATTATTTCCAATTGAAACTTTTTTAGTTGTTTCTATATTACTTTTATTTTGCTGGTATATAAGATCGGTTAAAACTAAAATGATATAGCTGTAGGTATATGTTTATGATCTCTACTTTTACCTCAGTCATTGTTTATTGTGCCTAAAGGGGAATTTCACAGTTTCTTTTTTTTTTTCAAATTTGCTATGAAATTACAAAGTGTCTAAAATTTGAGTGGAAAAATTAATTTATCAAGAGATTTGATCTCCTTTTTTTCCTCTATCTTCTCTTGTATTTTTAACTTCATTATATTAAAAAAAAATAATTATACTTATCCAGTAAACTATCTAATTAATATTATATAGAGTACTTATGATCATAAAAACATAAATATGTATATAAATTTAAGAAAAATATAATATAAAATTTCTATTCTATCTTTCAAATTTCGTTTTAAATCTTAATCATTTTCTTATTCATACACTTCTCACTTTCTCATTTGGTCATAGAGTATGTTTATTTTAAAGTTGAGATAATCGTTATCCACAATCTTCCTGATATATATATCTGACGAACCTGACCATCCCATATGAACGACACCAATGACCACATTTCCATTGCTAAGATGATGGAATTGAAACAAGTTTAAGACATTATTTTCCTTCTCTCAGCACATTAACCGGCTTTTCCAACTTACAAAACATAAGCTCTAATTATCACTTTGTCAAAAAACCTAAAAATGAGACTAGAGAAAATAAAAGAGATTGTCAATCAAGCTACATTATTTAGTAATCTATTTCTAGCATAGTTTCTCATAGCAATTACATGAATTTTGAACTAACACTTGTAAGACCATAATGTCTATAATCTTCAATCACCAAGTAGTTAATATTTTAGTAAGTATTATGTTCTTAATACTTCCCACGCTTTCATCTTTTAAAACTAACTCACATCCCTTCATTTTCTAAATTATTATCATAACTTCAACAACCAACCTTTTACTATTCTTCAAAACAAACTATGTGTTGGGATAATGAAAATAATATGTTTTGAAAATTCTCCCATCACCTAGGATAAACAAGGGAGTGAATGTTAGTAACTATATAATGAACTTTAAGTTCATAATATTTTTTGTCTCAAGTCAAAGACATTTTAAGTTTGTATTTGACTTTTTTTTATAAAAGTTTTGTGAGGTTTATTGGATTAAATTTTTGTTATTTTTATTATTATCTTTTTTAAATAATTAAATATTTATTAAATAATTAGGGAAAGATAAGTATTTAGTTTTTATTTGTGAAATATTGTGTAGATAAGTAGAAAATGCAAAACATTGAAGAATATATCAAGATTATAATTTAGTTATAATTTATTTGAGTACAATTTACAGGCCGATTAGTTTGATCCAAGTTGTCCAGCGATTTGTGTGTTTTGAAAATCATTGAATAGATGTGTCATAAACTTAAGAGGTATTCCTCATTGTTTACGAAAGAGACTCCTTTATAGACTACTAGGGGTGTGGGAAGCTCTCTCACACTCCTCCTTAGGTCTTTTCCTTCATTTATGTTTTCTCTCCCTTTTTCGGGTTGAAAGGAAAGGTAGGCTACGAATGGGAGATGTGGATGTGAATGGGAAGCACAAATGGAGTTTGGAGTTGTTGCTTAATGTCGTGGAAAAGGGCTTTCCTCTTCTCTTTGGCTCCAATTTCTTCCCATCTCTTCTATTTGTAAACCCTAGGCTCTCTAGCATGGAGAGTTAATGTTATTTGTTGAGATTGGATATAATAAACTAATTCTTGTGTATTTTTTATGTTAATACATATGCTTTTTTCATTTCAATATTAGTATTTGATTTTTATGTTTAATGTTTGTTGTGGTTTGATCCCATGACTTGATTTCTGGTTCTTAAGGTGTTAAAAAATGTCTTTGGAACCTAGAACAAAAACTGAATACGAAATGGAGCTTGTATCTTGGGATAAAACATGATTCATTAGTAATCTTAAGACTTTGAACTTAATGCACAATTTTACTTGTTGAGGATTCAAGAGATTGAACTTTGATGAGTTGTCATAGGCTCAAAGTTACTAGAAATAGGATTTGAGTAAACTTGTGAGTTGATTTTAACTTGAATAAGAAATTAAAATGTTTGCAAATGAATGAGATTGAAGTGAATGAAATCTAGTCTTTACAATTGTAAATAGTTTATGTTAAATTCCTATTCCACATCAATTGTTTCATAAAAATACAAAAAGGAGTTTCTTCATGCTTTTGTAAGCTTTGTTATTTAATTGAGTTGTGAATTATGAGAATTGTTGAGTTTTGTACAAGTCTATTGGAAAAACAATATCTAGACTTTCCACTTTATTACTTGGATGATTTGGTACACTGGTCAATATCTTAACAATGGGTGTATTCTAATGGTATTTATACACAAGCATTAGCTAATATTGATGCAAAGTGTGTGGTTTTATACACGGGCATTGATTAGCATTGATGCAAGGTATATGATGTTTATGCACAGGCATTGGGTAATATTAATGCAAGGCATGTGGTATTAATTATGCATGGGCATTGTTAGCATTGATGTAAGGCCTATGGTATTTATACACAAACATTGGCTAATATTGATGCAAGCATGTGATGATTATACACGGGCATTGATGCAAGGTGTATGAAAATTCTTGGGATGATTTAATTCCAAGTAAGTATACTCTCTAAGGTGGAGTATATGATTGCTAGTATAGACAATGAAGATGTGTTTATTTTTAATTATGGTGGAGATTGGTATCAAAGCTCTGATACCACTTGTTGGAAAAAAATGCACCACCAATTAAGAACATTATCGTCTTTACCCCAAGAATGACAAAGAAATAAGATAAATACAAGAATATAACATGAAAACTCCAAAACTAGAGAAAAATCACGAGAGTTGTCTAAAAATAACCAAAGAATACCAATATGTTAAAATTTGTACAATAAATAGACAACTCTCTTATGCCCTTTGACCCAAGTACACTCACACTCTCCAAAGAGAGAATTTAACTCAAACATCACAACACTCTACTACAAGAGTATAAGAAAAGTCATACAAGCTTAAAGTGTCTTTGACTTGGGGCAAGAAACACCAAATTTATGGTACATTATATAATGGCTTAATACCCTATTTTGTCCTCAGTTTCGCTCGAAAATGTCAAATTAGTCCATCCTTTAAAAAATGCGTCAATTACGTCCTCACTTAATAAAATTTGCATCAATGAAATCCCTTCCGTTAAATTCGTACAAACGGCATTACTTAATAAGAGAGAAAAATAATTAATGTCGTATGTACGGATTTAACGGAAGGGATCTCATTGATGCAAATTTTATTAAGTGAGAACGTAATTGACGCATTTTTTAAAGGATGGACTAATTTGACATTTTCGAGCGAAACTGAGGACAAAATAGGGTATTAAACCTTATATAATTAATATCACTCAATTTATCCTTGGTGAAGTGGGACTTTCTAAGATGTATTATTTTCATCAACCCAACATTGTGATACCAACAAAGTTGGATTCAGTCATCCAAATTTATTTTCTTTGTCACTCAAGAAAAAATTTCTTACCTATAACTAAAGATGTTAAAATGAGATCTAACCTGTGAGCTAACTCAACTCACCACAAGTTTGAGCCACATTGGGTTGAAAATTTTTTATTGATTTTTTAATATAGGTTTAACTGAACCCAGCTTAATCCACATATTAAACGAGTTTAAGCCGAGTTGAAGGAGTGTTTACTCGCAACCCACAACCAATAGCACTTTATTAGAATTTTGCAATTTTTTATAAGTATTTATTATAATTATTTACTACTTCTACAATTTCATAATTTGATATTTTCCTTAGAATGGGTTTAATTGCTTCCTTTGTTCCCAGTTTGGTTGAATTGTGTCAAATTCATCCTCATTTTTAAAAAAGTTTCATTGTCGTCCTCACGTGGTATAAAAGTGTCAATTGAATCCAAACATAGAAAAAATTTGTGTCAAAGTAGTCATTTTTCCTATATATCTGTGTCTTCCTTTCATATGTCACTTCTCTGGAGCTATGAAAAGCCTTAAATTGGATAAGGTAAAATGAATATCTGTACTTGATTGTATGAAAGGAAGACACAGAGATATAGGAAAAATGACTACTTTGACACAAATTTTTTCTATGTTTGGATTCAATTGACACTTTTACACCACGTGAGGACGACAATGAAACTTTTACACCACGTGAGGACGACAATGAAACTTTTTTAAAAATGAGGATGAATTTGACACAATTCAACCAAACTGGGGACAAAGGAAGCAATTAAACCT